ATACAGTATTCATTACAGCATACCTTTTGGATAACAGTGTTTTAAAAAAAAAACAACAAATACTCTTTTTTTTTTTTGTGCTAAGTGATTGTATGTAATTCCATAGTCTGTCTGCTTTGAACTAATAGTCCTCCTTGTAGTAAAATTATCATTTAGAAAACCTGCCAATGTTTTGAGATTCTGAGTTTGCATTACCACTGTAAATAGTGTAAGGAAAACATCTATTTTCTTAAATTTTCTAAACACTTCTGTGAACTATTATCTACCTTTCAGTACAAAGCACTTGTTTCTACCTTGGTAGACTTTAATTAAAAGTATTATTTTATAACAAACCAAACCTAGGAACAGGGTCTATTTTTGTCTGTTTGGTGGGTTTTTTTTGCTTTTACAGTTGTGAGGGTAACTTTTTTAAAAATTTAATCTGATTCTTTCAGTTTAAAGTCAATTTCTAGTGACACTCATGAAAGTTTTTTCCACTGTGGACATTTCTTATCAAACATGAATGCCCATGACAGTAACACGTGTTTCATTGTTTATGACTTAATTATAAAATTTAATTATTTATTATCAGGTTTCAGATGTTTAAGTTTCCTGGCTAAATGACAATTGACTGTTGAAAATTCTCTTGATGAAGAAAGCTTATAAAATGTTCATATAACGTATTCTGAAATTATTCTGTAATACTTTTATTGTCTTTTGTACTAGATAGAAGGCTGGCAAACCATATATTATTTTAGTGGGATTTTGATAGCTTCCTTATATTAATAGTACTAATTCTGTGGCTGTTACCTATGAAAACTGTTGGTTGAAGATTTTGAATTATACTTACTGAGAAGAAAAAGGTGTATGCTTATTTTCATTACAATGTAAAACCTTAGATATGACTGCTTTGGGTAGACACTGCCGTTCTAATAATTTGGTAAGTGCACCCTTTTTGATACAGGAAGGAGTTTGCTATCAAATAAACTTATTAGACAGACACGTTTTGGCATCTACTCAACTTCTGCAGATATTAAAATCAGGCGTATTAGTAAGATCAGAGCTCTTACTTGCTCATTTGTCTTCTCTTTCGCTGGTAGGCGTCAAGTACTTCAATTTTATTATTTATTTTTATAGGACACTTCCTAACACAGTTTAGATACATTAGTTTTATCCTTGCATCATTTTGTAAGTGGAATGTTTGGATTTAAATTCAATAACTATAATACATGTCTATTATTACAAAACATCTGTTACTAGAAGACACATAATTACTGGCTTGTTTGGAAAGTCCATTTGATGTTTTATAGATTATAAAGTCAGTACTTACCGTCACTTCCTGATGGAAATTTCAGAACAGAATTTTTATACAGTGATGCTGCTGGAAAAATGGCACAAACAATACATTCTCCGTGTCCTTCTTCACATCAGTTATTTCCTGCCTGATCTCTGCTTGCCAGTTTGCTTTTCCTTCCCCTCAGATTCCCTGGACTGAATTCTCATTGCTTGGTGTTTTCAGTTTTTTCCCCCGATGCTGCTGGTGACATTGGTTTCTTTGTCTCTTCCACTTAAATTCACACAAGAGCACATCTTGTCTAAAGGTGCTGTTGCCTTGCTTTTCAAAGAACATGCAGGAGAAAAAATAATTTCTATGTGTCCCCCCCTCTTGCTTGCCTCCCCTTGGATGGTGTACTGCCTGAACATCCCTATTATATGTTCTTGTGCCTGTACCAGTGATGCTGTGAGTGATTAATGTTAGCACTTTGATGACATCAGCAACTAGCAACTCTCTCTCTCTCTCTTCCCCCCCCC